CTGAGGATTCTGGAAACTCCTATATTTCCTCCTTGGAGGCGGGAGATGCTCTCTCTCTAGGCTCACTCCCTGTGAGACATCCCTGTGGACAAGACACATGCAGAGAGGCTGATGGAACCAGACCCTCGGAGTCAGAGAAGCCGCACAGAGACCCCTGCCAGCGCTGAGATGCTTACAAAGGCCCTGGATCCACAAGACTTCCCACCCACTGGCCTGTGATCTTCCTGCATTTGGCATCATTGCATGTGCTTCGTGAGTCTGAAGAGGACTTTATAGATTAGTATCAAACATATGGGCTAATATCAGACTTATGGACTGGGATGTTTACTCAATATTCAATTGTATATAAAGCTTTTTTTTCCTTCACAATTATGAATAAAGCTCTTTCTTACACATGAGTGTCCGTGGAATTTGCTTTTATAGTCTGCCCAGACTAACACACTGTGGAAGGTCCGAGTTGGCTTGTGGGCTGCAGCTAAACTAACAGGGTTCCCCAGACAGGCAAGTAATAAGAACGGTTCCATTCCACAAAACACCACGTCTCATTCAACCATTTAGTTCTGTTCAAAAAGGCTTTATGAACTTCTCGTTTACTACAGTTACTTGTGTTGTAGCTTTATAAAAACATGTTCTTGTGTTATGGAACTCAAAGTCAGTAGGATTTTCATAGCCATGCTTGTTCGTTCCATATACACTTCAGATTAAACTGAGAAATTTTTTTTTTGGTTTGTGCATTTCTTGAACTTAAGCCTGATTCTTTCCCCTCTCCTGTTATTAACAACCGAGTCTTTCCCAGGAGTGTATGTCCAGCTGGTTCTTAGAAGGAAAATCACCTACGGAAGCATGATGTAAGTTTGCATGATGCAAAGTCAAAGAAACTGGGAGATTATGTTTGTAATGCCTGTGACAAGTGGCGGGCTCTCCTAATATAGAGAGAGCTCCTAGAACATAAGGGAAAACAGTAAATAGATTTTGTTGCCTATTGTTATGGTGAAAACGGTTCCAAAACGCAGTGGTTTAGAGCCACCACCACTTCACTCTCGTGGCAGATTCCATGGGTTAAGCGCTTGGGCAGGGCTGAGCTGGGTAATTCTTTGGCCCCAGGAGATGTTATTTTCAGGCCCTGGCAGGTGTCTATGGAAGGCTGGCATCAGCTGAAGTTCTCTCTGGGTCGTTTAAAGGCTTCTCCATGTGGTCTATCAGAAGAATACGATTTTCTTCCTCAGTTCATGAATGGAGGATATATAAATGGTTTTTTAAATGTAGGAAAAGATGCCCAGAAAATCTTCTAGGTCACAGATTTGTTCTGTCCTGATCCCTTTTTTCCATGGCAACGCCAACATGCTCTGGAGTCCCAGGGTGTTTCAAGGTTCTCTCGTCTTGGGATTCTGACTCATCAAAATGGTAGGCGCCAGGGCGGGCATAGTGAGTTTGGTGCTGGGCTGCTAACTGCAAAGTCAACAGTTTGAAACCAGCAGCTGCTTTGTGGGAGAAAGTTAAAGCTTCCTCCTCCTATAAAGATCGTCTTGGAAATGATCTACCCTGTCCTGGAGCGTCACTGTGAGTTGGGGTCTTCTAGATGGCAGTGAGTTTGAGTCAAAATGCTAGCCTGATTTTCAGTGTCTGTTAAGTAAACCGCAGCTTCTAGTTCTGGCTTCCTGGGACGTTGGCTGTAACAAAGTATTAAATTGAATTTAACTGAATTTCTTGAAGGGTGATCTAGAACATTTGGAGATGGCTGTATGTTAAGAATCTCGGCCTCGTTCCTCTTTCGGGGACGCTGTCTAAAGGCATTCACAATGGCTCAGTGCCTTACAGCCGCTCATGAAACGAGGCTGCCCTGGTAATAATAAACTTGTCTACTTATCTACGGAGAAGGCTGGTGAAGCACCAGACTCCGTCCATGGCGTGTGCCCAGGCCAACTTCGAGGGGTCTGTGCCGAGGCCTGCCATTCTCACGAGGTTGTCCGGACAAAAGAAAACCTGTCAGTGGGCCTGTGGTGGCTGTGTGTGTGCCTACTGTGTGGAGCACAGGATGGAGCACTTTCCTTCATGAGGAGCGGAGCGTCCTGGGAGTGTTGAAGGCACAAGCAGTGGCAGAAAGTTAAGTGCAAATGAAGCGCTTTTTAAATTTAAAAAAAGATCAGTGACTTGTTCTGGTTTTAAAAGTCTCTGCCTCAAGGAATTTATACTCTGCTGGTGGCACAGTGGGTTATAGGCTGGGCTGCTACTCCCAAGGTCAGCAGTTTGAAGCCACCAGCTGCTCCAAGGGCGAGTCGGCTTTCTACTCCTGTCAACAGTGAGTTTCAGAACTCAACCCACAGGGGCAGCTCTCCCGTGCCCTGTAGGGTCGCTGTGCGTCAGCATCGACTCAGTGGCAGAGACAGTTGGGTTGTAGACGGACAAGTAAAAAATTTAAACCGACAGGGTACACACTGAGGTTCTGGGGTTGGGGTCCGGGGTGTTGTTACTAAACAGTCCATTATAATGGGTGAGTTCCCAACTCAATGCGTAGAAACACATTAAGTGTTCTTGGGGGAAAGCAGGAGCATGGCGGGACTGGGGAGCATGAACGCTACGGAGTAAACATTTGTCAGAGCGGAACGAGCCAGATGCTGTGCTCATGTCCCCACACGACAGCTGGGGCCTGCGCGGCAGGCCTCCCCACTGCAGTCATTCAGGGGTCAGTGGGAGAGGGAGTCAAGAAGTGGCCTGCTGTGCCCAGCTGTTGTTGGTTGGATAAGTAGAATGGTATGCAAACGAGAAGTTTTACACCATTCTGGGAACAACCTACCAGTGGTCAAGCCTCGTGCCTGTCCCTTGGAGCTCCATCGTGTAACTTCACTCAGCCCTGAACGCCTGTTTCCAAGGCATTAGTATCCTGGTGCTGGAAGTCTCATAGTACCCAAGTCTCTCAATGCCAACAGCTGCTTCCAAAGCAGTGTCCTGGGGAGTTTATGACATCAGAGAGAGTGTCTCTGGTTATTTTACTTCTATAAAGAGTGTCGCCTAGCCCTGGTCAATGCCTACCTGAAAGTATGATTTAACACAAGGTTCCCAAACATACTTGATCTACCGCCTGTTAAAAAAAAAAGGGCTCGGCACCCCTCCTGGCGATGGAAAGCTTGTGTACTGAAGGCCATATCCAGGGCTGTGTGGGCATCGCTCCTTCCGCAGCCCCCTTGGATCACTGCAGTGCCCCTCAGAGGGCGATACTGCCACTTTGGGGAACAGATTTGGAAACCAGAATATGGCCTAAAAATAGAAAACTATCATCTTCTGAGGATTGGACCTAAAAGTGACGAGATTCTACAGAAGACCTTATTTAAAGGCTGCAAAAATCTCTCTCCCACGATTGAAAACGCCACGGACGATCACCTGCAAACTGCCGTATAAAACTCTGTACACGTGGGGCGGTCAGTCCAGTTCAAACCTTCTCTAACTCCTGGTAACAAATCAGGAGTCACATCCGTTTACCGCAGTGGTTCTCAACCTTCCTAATGCCGTGACTTTAATACAGTTCCTCACGTTGTGGTGAACCCCAACCATGAGATTATTTTTGTTGCTACTTCGTGACTGTCATTTTGCTAATGTTATCAATTGGGTGACCCCTGTGAAAGGGGTCCACCCCCAAAGGGTTCGTGACCCACAGGCTGACAACCGCTGATTTACAGCATTTCCCACGCAAGTAAGACCGGCCAAGGGGTGTCCTGAAGTTCATAGGGAGGGTGGATAGGAATTAGCCAAAGGAAGGGCATCTAGACTTAGGTAGAGTAACTGACAGCCAACTGGGGGCGAGGAAACAAGAGCAAGAGTACCAATGGGGTGGTGAGTGGTTAGGAAGACAAAACCTCACCTCACCAGTCTGGCCTGGTTTGGCACTCCAGTCTTCTTTGCCAAGCCACCCAAAGTTCAGGCGTTCACACCTCAAGGGAGCCTATCTGGGGCAGTCTGGAACTCAAAGGCCAAGGCTCATTCATGTACCCTCTCCACACCACGGTCCACTCCTGGCACTTTCCTCTCAAGGTATTTCCTAAGTCCACAATGTTCTGATCTGGGCTTCTTCAAGGGACCACTGATGGGTGCCACTGTGTCCCGATTCCAACTCATGGTGACTGAGCAGCCCTGACCCATAGGCTTTCTTTGGCTGTAAAAGGCACAGCACACGCAGGCCTTCTTTCACCCTCCTATGAGGAGCAGCTAAGAGCCTCACAGGACTAGGAGTCAAAAATGCTACCTAGCAGCAATACATCAATTTATTTTAATTATGTATCCTCACAGTAGCACCCTCCTTGATCTCATCGGAATACATGGCCTCAGTATCTACACATACATACTCCTTCCGTTTTGCTGCTCCATACCTAAACTACAGGCAGACCTAGCAATTTATATGGGTCCAGTTGCAGACCGCAATAAAGTAAGCCGTACACTTTCATTGGTGTCTCAGTACACGAATGAGTTACATTTAGAATCAACTACAGTCTGTTAAGTGTACAAAATAGCATTTTAAATGACCAAAATGGAGTAGGGAGCAAACGCTGGGAAAATGGTGCTGAGACTTACCACGAGTTGCCACAAACCTTTTAAATTTGCAAAAAAGCACAGTACCTGCAATGTGTGATAAGCAAAGCAGAGTAAAATGCGGTGTTCTTGTAACCATTCATCCCCCCACCCTCACCCCTGTGCCCTTCTTCAGAATCTTAATTATGCTTACATTGACCCTAAACTTTATAGCTTCCTCCCATTTCAGGACAAAGAGAGTCTAAGACCAAAAAATCTAGGGAAAACTTTAGTGCCCTGACGGATTTGGCTTATTTCATGGACTGCCACATCCTAACAGTCACAAACTCAACCAAGTTTAAATTGCTTACTGATATGCCAACTCAACAAATCCTCTGGAACCTAAAATAATGAAACATCACTGATGTCTAGAATGCTGTTTGTACCGTGTCATTGCCTAACTTATGCCCATCTTATTGTACAGTGTACGATTTTCTGAACATTTCACCATATGAAGAAAATGACCATATATCTTTAGGTTCATGTCCATAAATAGCATCATGTTGATAAATTCAAGAAAAATTGAAGCAGTTTGGAGTTATCTGGATTATGGGAACTTGGAAAAAATTATGCCATCACGTACCTTCAATAAATGTTAAGTGTTGCCTGAGATGAAAATAAGCTATGTTTTGGTCCTAAGAAGGGTCCCACTGAATTTAGGGATAAGGCCTTAACTTTGGGGGTCATTTATCTTAAGACATCTGAGTTCAAAACTTGAAATTTCTTGCTATGGTCAAACTACAACATTTTGACTTGGGCTTCTGTTAAGGCAGTCTGTTTACAAAAGGTAAGGCTACTTGCTCACATCAAGACGTTCCTACACCAGTTTTATTTAAAACACAAATCAGTATTTCTCTTTCTGTAATGGCAAATGGCTGAAATAATGATGAACATGAATCACTAATACAAGGAATTTAAATATAAAACAAAGTTATTTTAAAAATAACAAAAGAACAAAGGTTATATACAAAAGGGATCTGGAATCTGAAGGGGATTCCAAAACCGAGTCGAGTAGACAGTCTGTGGTGAAACCAGAGCATTCCACCCCTGCTTCGGAGCGCCATCACACAACATTCAGTCACCGAAGACGGACTGGCAGAGAGGGCGACAGGAATTTCAAGTCATTTTCGCTTGTGCAGAATCATCCAGATCTTCCCAAGAGCTGAACGGCAGTCCTGTGGCTTTCTTTCTTGTCAACAGTCCCAACAAGACTCCATGAAGTCCAACTCTTGCTGGGCAGCTGACAACAGCAGTCCCTTAGGAGCCAGCGTGACGGGGTGGGGGTCAGATTTCTCTGTGGGAAAGAAAACCGGCCACCTCCAGCAAAGAAAAGTCACAATGGCCAAGTCCTTTCCCTCTCCTCCCGGTGACGTGCAGGCCGTCGTCTCCTTTCAAGACGATTAGCCCCACCGCACTTGTTCCTTCTGATCTCCAAGTCTAACCAAGTCTCTGAGGTGATATGCAGCAGACCAATACCAAGAAAACAAAATTCAATTCAGAAATGAAGAGCAGGCCTGGAAGGCATCCAATACACCCCCAGAGCATCGCCGTCTCCTCGCGACAGCAGAAGTTGGTGCACTGCCGCAGACCACAGATAAAGATGGGCAACATACATGAGTTCACTGCCCACTCTCCCCACATTTAGTTACAGAGCCCAAATAAATACCGGGCAAGGTAGAAATTTTTTTTTTTAATGAACCAATTTTTGTCCCTCAGATATCTCAATCCGAAGGAGGCAAGTCTTAAGAAGGGACAACTGAATTTGTACTGGAAAAGAATTCCTCTAACTGTGTCATCCTTTCTTACAGAGAATCCAGGGAATCCCAGAAATAGAAAATTTGTGTTGGGGGGGCTCCCGAGGCACTTTAAAGCCTTAAGACAATGACAATAATAATAAGTTATCTATTGCTCTTCAGGAGCTTACCGAGCAGCAGGAACATCAAAATCAGGGCCAAAGGGATGTCCAGACGCCCAGCTGCCTGAGCTGCTCAGCCCTCTCTAAAGCTGAGTTGTATCTTTAAGTACATTACAAAAGACACAGACAATTTAACAGAGTGACTTTTTTGTTTAGTGGTAGCATGAAATTTGGTCCTTAATGGTAGCAGCTATCTTCACCCTTTTCAAATTCAGATATTAAGCATATTAAGACAACACATGAAAGAAATAACAATCGAGAGAAAAAACACACAAAACCTCAAACTGACAAACACCTCAAGGAGCCATTAGTTCTCCCTCACCCTTTTACTCGACCCTCCTCTCAATCTCTCTCTTTTTTGGGGGGTGGGGTGGAAGGTAAAGGTAAATCAGAACTGTACTCAGAGATGCTAAACAACAGCATCAAATGAACGAAATGAAACGAGTGACATCAAAAACCAGCCCGAGGACTGTGGGACACTGCATCAGGTAGTTGGTACAGAGGTCCACTTCTGATGCGGGGCAAGTTCTAGACTCATAAAATGATCTCCTCAGGTAAACGGGAACATAGATGAAACCAAGGCCAGGGTTTTGGTGAGGGCTTTTTTTTTTTTTTTTAAAGTTTCTCCCCCCACTACCACCTTCAGCTATCAATCATTTCTGACAGCTCAAGCAGAAGATCATCTTCATCCTTCCCAGGATCCAGGTCAATCTCAGCTTCTAGCTTGCCTCCGGAAATCTCCCATATCAGTTTCTCGAAGTCGTCTTCCATGGAGATCAGGGGCTTTCCTGTGGAAGCTGAGCTCAGCCGGCGCGCTTTGGCTGCCACTTGGGATGAGGATGGGCCGGACGCCTCCGAGGGTGAGTGGTCAGAAGAGGACTGAGCTGGAGACAGCACAGGGCTGGAAGAGGACAAAAAAGATTTGAAAGCTGCCCCTTGGTGGAACCACTCAGTTTTAGGGGCAAAAGACTTAACAAAGAGCTGTTACTGAAGACACATAGAGTTGTTTTTGTTTTTTCCAAAGCGGATTTGGAACCATGCATTGCAGCATTCTCAAAAACTCAGCCAGGTGTTACAGAACATCATGTACACAATACTGGCAAAATATAAACAAAGGCACTAAGCAGGGAATCGCAACACTGGATCTCATGTCTACTTGCAATTAACTTGAAGTTCATACAATTTATTTAGACGTGGCAAACTGAAAAGTGTTGATGGATATTTAGCAGTTAGTCTCCAGAGAGCAAGAACAACAGAGGTGTGAAAGTGTGGAGGCATTACCTGTCCTGAGGCCTGTCTGTCTCGAGCACAGGGACCGGGCTCTCCTCTGAGAGGAGCGGGACCACAGCCTACAAAAGAAGAAGGAACGGCGGCGGCTAGGCCTGGATCTTTGTTTCCCAGCACTTATTTTCTCCTGTTGCTCTCTGTTATCTTTCTTAACGTCTGGGAGTTCAACAATCAATAATCCAAAAGTTGAGTGCACAAATATGCAAAACACCTTGCTATCCCCAAATGGTGCATCTGTAAAATGCAGTAGCAACCTGATGGATGACGGTGCGGAGGGCATGGCAGGAAACCCTGTGCGCGGAGCTCGAGCTCTGCGGGGCACGTGCCTACCCTGCTCTGCTGCCACACAGAGCACAGCACGGGGCTGCCAGGGCCACTTACCACAGCTGCTCTCTTGCCCGGGCTCTCCAGCAGGGCGTGGCTGGAGCTGAGCGGCCTCACAGCTGCAATCACAGCAGGGTGGACCTCCGCAGCCTTGCGCTTGGTGGCCAATTTGGGGGGTGAGACGACTTTGACCACAGATGGTTTCACGTTCACTTTGGGTTTAGCTACAAAGAACAGGAAATATTTGCTTACTGGCTAGGCTAATTTCTCCTCTACATTTATTCAGAATCAAATGCCCCACAATCCTTCAAATACGAAGGATGGCACAGACACCACACATCCTACATCTCAAAATGACCTGTCGCCAAAACAGAGATTCACAGACTCAGATTACCCCCTTTCTCAAAAGCTCTTCCATGTCTGGGATTTTCTTCTTCAGAAGAAAATTTCACCACGGAAATTTTTAGATGGGGCTTTAGAGAGGCAAAGTTATGTTCTGAGAAAAAGAATTCATCTAGTTTTGTCTTAAAAACAAAAAGCACAAAACTGTCAGGGAGAGAACTTTCTACCTGTCTACACGCGGTTGTTGCAGGTGCTGTCTGTGCGGTGCACTCTGACTCAGGACCCCAAGTGATCACATCACACGACCCGAGAGGGCTCCAGGGCATCATTTTCCCATCAGCACACTGTCAGTTTCTTTCCCCGTGCAGCTGCTGGATGGACCTGAACCACCAACCTTCTGATTAACAACCGAGGGCTTCACCATTTATGCCACCAGGAGTCTTGGGCCATAAGCAAATTTAATTCAACCCAATTGTTTGCAGGGGTTTTTAACCTTGGAAATGCTGAAATCCACAAGCAGAACGCACTGTAAGAACACTCACCTTTCGCCCTTTTTTCTAAAGGCGGTGTTGCATATTTCACATTCAGTATTGAATCCCCAATCCCTAAGGTTTCCAGCTCCAGCTTCTGGGGTAACTTTGGGGGTGGTCGCTTTGCTGGGTGCCGAGAGGTGCTAGGGGCGGTGCTAAGCACTGCTTTCTCTAGCACTTGGGCATTTAAAGTGGTGACGTCTCCCTGAAGGGGTGTCAAGACGGACTCCTTCTCAGGGGCTCCCCTGTCCTGCTGTTTCTGCGTGTGCTTCTCTCTCAGGGTCTCGCATCTCCTGACCTGAATTTTCGTGGTGCTAACTCCTGCGGACTCGTCGGGAACCTGCGGATAAGTAAGTGCCCATGACACCATTAAAGTTTAGTAACTCACTCTACATGATAAACATGACTGAACAAACACACACTTGTACCATTTAAGTCAAGCAGTTTGACACACTCAGAATCCAAGAGAAAAAAGCTTATGTGAAAGACAATGATGAGCTGAAATGTAAGACTAGAATCAAAGCACGGACCAATCAGGACTCAGTTACTTCGTGCTAAGCCACCTTAAGTCAAATATGAACACATCTCAACAGCCGAGCGCCTACACTAAGATGTGTGTACAAAGACATTCACTGTTATTAGTTATAGTCATATAAAACAAATCTAAGTGCTCAGAAATAGGTTCAAATACCCATAAAAACATTTTGAAGAATTATTAATGTGAGTTGTTTAAAAAGAAAAAGAGCAAGCTACAAAGACACAGTGTAGAGTTCCCAACCATGTTGTAAACAGGAACTCAATATTAAACAAGGTCACATAAATACATAACCTGAGAGCTTCAAAAAGTTCAGGGAAAACAGGATTAAAAGCACAATTTTTCCACACCTCTCTGAAGTCCCTTCATTACATAAACGAAAAGCTGAAAGGAAATTCATTAGGGGTGGGGGAGCTGATGACATCAGGTTTGTGGAATTATGAAGGTTTTCATTTTTTCATACAATGAACGTTCCCAAGTTTGATAGCCCCATAACTCTTGAAGGCAAAAAATAAAAATTTAAAAACATCGACAGCCAATTAAACACCACCTTCTAAAGGCAGAAGACAGCGACAGACATCTCAGTAGAGAACCAAGCCCCGTGCAGCCAAGCCCGGCTCACAGCAACCTCTAGGGCAGCAGACAACAGCTGGCTTCCCGGTGCCTGTGGCTGTCCACCTTTACAGGTGCCAGGGCCTCAGCGTCTATCCCCAGGAGTGGCTGGTGGGCTTGAACTGCTGGTGTTGGCAGTCCTATGCCTAGCCAACTAAACCACCAGGACACCTTCTGGAAAACTATAAGCACAGTAAAATACATCATCAGTGACTTGACTGTAAGCTAAACTGAAAGAGCAACTTCACCGTTCATCTGGCCCTTACCTCGCTGTCCTCTGCGCTGGGAGCACTGCTCTGAGGTGCGTCTTCACTTTCTTCCTGAAGCCTTTTCTCTTCTTTCATACCTGTGTCATATTAAACATGTCATCATGTCACAGACTGCAACTTTACGGTAGCTACAGTTAAACAAAATGCAAAATGGTAAGTGAAGCAAATAGTAAGGGACAAATCATAGATAAAACCAATTTTGAGACTTATGAAGTCTCAAAATGTTTATTAGGATAGCAAAGGTCTAAATGGTGCTGCTAAGCAAAAACAGCTCAACTGTAATTGAAACGAATATCCCATTGCCATCGAGTCGATTAGGACTCATAGCAGCCCTGTATGACAGTGTGGAGGGGCCCTGCTGGCACAGTGGGTTCCTTGTTGGGCTGCTGATGGCAAGGTTAGCAGTTTGAAACCACCAGCCATTCTTTAGAAGAAAGATGAAGCTTTCCATTCTTGTAGAGTTACAAAGTCGTCTCAGGAACCCACAGGGTTAGGGCAGGGACAGGGGCAGTTCTACCCTGCTTTACAGGGCCACTATTAGTTGGAACCGAGTAGATGGCAATGTGCTTGGCTTGATTTTGAGGGCAGAATAGAACTTCCCCTATGGGCTTAAATCTTCACTTGGGCGGACAGCTTTATCTTTCTACCGCAGGGCAATTGGTGGGTTCAAACTGCAGACCTGTGGTTGAACAGTCCAATGCATTAATACACTAGGAATTTCTTGGATACCTTGTGAACCCTGACCTAGGGAGTAATATTGGGGCAGGTGGTACAGCAGATGAGCTTTTGTTACCTGTTTTCTTGGTGATGCGCAGCAGCCGCCGGGCCCCTGGCGTGTCCTCGAGCTGGGGCTGGGGCTGAGCACTGGAGCTGCTCTCCGGGGAGCAATGCTGCACCCGCAGGGCCTTCTCCAGTTTAATTTCCTCCAGCGTTTTGATGTGCACGTCCTGCACTGACTTTGCTTTCCCGGCGGGCTCCTCAGACAGGCCTTTGCTGGCACCCGTGGGGGGCAAAACCACTGGTTTTTTCATTTCACTCTCGGTCTTTAACTTGATACAAGTTACTTCCTTTTTGCTTTTTTGTCTCTCTGCTTCCTGTTGCCGATGTTTCTTTTCAGCCAGGACCTCAGAGAAGGTTTTGATTCGGACATTGGAAGAGCTTCTAATTCCAGAAGTGGAATCAGCAGTCTTTGAAGGTCCTTCTGCCTTGACTTTTGTTTGCAATTCTCCACGTTTCTGACAGGCTCTTTCAAGAAGAATTTCTTCTAATGTCTTCACGCGGATCTCACCGACTTTCATGATTTTCTCTGTTTTCACGGGGGAAAGAACGTGTCACTGGATGTCTGGTTGAGAAGTATCACTTAAGCAGGCAACACCCATTATCAAGAGCCATTATACTGCTTTCAATCTCACTGTTAGACCACAAGGATGTCGTGGTTGCACAATGGCTGCTAACAGCAGGCTGGCAGTCTCACAGCACTAGCCAGCTCCTCAGGAGGAAGACGGGGCGTCTCACTCCTGGAAGGAGTCCCAGTGCTCAGGGCTCACGGGGAGTAAGTAGCACCCTGTCCGCTAGGGTCTCTATGAATCAAGAACTGACTCGATGACAGTGAGTTTGGTTTTTGGTAAATTCCATTTGAAGACATTAACTGTGGTGTGTATTTTTATTCAGAGGCTATTCTTTTTATTTATAAATTAAAAGATCATTTTATTGGGGGCTCTTACAGCTCTTTTAACAATCCATACATTCATGTATCATGCATTTTTGCACATATGTTGTCATCATTCTTTCCTAAACATTTACTTTCTATTTGAGCCCTTAGTATCAGCTCTTTTTTCCCCTCCCTCCTCCCCTCCCTACCCCTTGATAAATCATAATTCTCATATCTCACTGGCCGCTGTCTCCCTTCCCCCACGGTTTTTGTTTTTTGTCCCCGAGGAGTGTGTGGGATGGTTATGTGTCGATCATTGTGCTAGGTTCCCCCTTCCTCCCCTCCTCTCCCTACCTTCCCTCTAGCCTCCTGGTATCGCTATTCCCGTTTTTCATGTGTCGTGAGCTCTTATCCCTGTGCGCATGCTCCAGTCTAGCCCACAGTGAAAGGCACTACTGGGGTCATGACAGTGGGGGGTGAGGAAGCCTCAAAGAACCACAGGAATACCATGTGTTTCATTGGTGCTATATTGCGCCCTGGTTGACTCATCCCTTCCTTGTGACCATATGTGAGCAGTTGTCCCATTGTTTACAGATAGGTTTGGGGTCTCTGCTCCGACCTCCCTCATTCTCAACAACATGGTTTTGTTTGTTTTGGGTCTTCTGATGGCTGTTACAGAGGCTATTCTTAAGGCACCTAAAAGTCATGGACTTTGAATGGTACCTTGAATGGTATGTGCCATTTATTACCATTCATAACCCCATAACCAAACCCAATGCCACCGAGTGCATTCTGACTCACAACTGCCCTACATAGCTGTAAACCTTTACGGACGCAGGTACCCTCATTGTTCTCCAGCGGGCAGCATTCGTAGCCTCAAACCCAGACTACAGCTCTATTAGGAGTGCTAAATGCCATTAAAAGTAGCAATAAATTCATTCTTCCACTCATGTACACACACAAGCATGTGCTGAGCACGATGCTACAAGAACAGTGCTAAGTGAAAAACAATCCCTAACGGAAAGATAAACAGTGGTAGCAGTGGGCGTGTGGTAACAACTGCCCCAGAGGCACAGAGAGCAAGAAGACTGATGCTTCACTCTAAGGGAGAAAGGTAAGTTTCTCAGAGGAAGTGATCGGTAAAGGATATCTAATGATGCAAGGGGGTAAAACAAATGACAAGTCCGGAGAACACAGAAGACCTGAAACTGCCGTTCTATGAAACCTACTGAACAGCTATTTTTAATGATATCCTCATCATTTTACCTCTGCTTAGATGAAAAAGCAAATTTCCCTGTGGCATATGTAAGCACCCTCATGGCTAGGGTCAGCCAAAGAGCCAATGAGCGCGCACAGCAGCTGCGAGGGCCAAGGAAGCACTCAGTGCATGCTCCGTGTCCCGGCTGTGGGCGGTCCTCCAAGGTCTGGTGGAAAAATGCCAACCGAAACACTCACTGTTGCAACCTGTCCTCCGGGTCTATTTTATGCCCAGGAAACAATTCTGTGGTGTTTGACTGTGCCAAATCAAGATAGATGAAATAAACACAAAAAGGAACAAGAAGTAATGGGAGGTAGTGTGATATAAGCAGCATAATTTCAAAATGATAAAACACATACACATAGGTAATCACTGACCTTTTACAGAAAAAGAAACGCCACACTGTGGCTGTGGAAGCTTAAACAAGATGGGAGTTACTTATGCCACGCCCAGAGGAGCCTGGCTGCCACCTAGTTACACAAAGCAAACATTTAAGATATTAAGTAACCTAACTTTAGAGACAGTAACGGACTTATTTAAGTCTAAGTGTAACCAGAACTCCAAATAGTGCTACAGTCCAGACAAGCTGGAACGGGCAAGCACTGACCCTCCGACCTGAGTCATTTTTCTTAACCCTGCGATTCTGAGGGAGAAAAGATTTCAAGAGACAGTCTGACAAATATCTGAAAGACTAATAAAAACTACTAGGACTTCCTTTGTCCCTTAGACTATAAAAACCCCATACTACTTCATCGCAGGTGCAAGGCCCACTCTCATACTATGTGTTTGTTGTCCAATTAGCAATTGGTATAATAAATCCCCAGCATTGTTGTCATTCTTAGAAGTGATTCGACAAAACAAACAAAAAATACCCTTTCACAACCTTAAATCCCTTCTGCTATCTTCTGAACCTTTGGAGATGTGCTGTCCCCGCTGCAAGCACACTTCCTACCAGTCTCACTTCCCTCGCAGTCTGCTTAGAGGAACTGAACTCGGGACTCACGCTGGAACCTCACATCCTTACACCTCGCTGGTCTCTCGGGTCACAGCACTGTAACGGACTGTCCTCGACCACACGACACACCTCATGACAACAGCAACTAGTTTACTACCCTAAGTATTTCTGCACAATACCTGTCACATTAGGAATGCACTCAAACAGTGAATTCGTTAAGTGTTTGAGTGAAAATGATATATTCCTCCATTTCTAGATGTTAAGACTGATCTGAAAATTGCCATCTTAGGAAAAGTCGGTATAAATGGTTTCCTACCAAAATTTCATTGAAATACTAGTGGATCCATTAAAAGTAAAACAAAGGCACAAGAGCAATGGAAACAAGGCTGTAAGGAAGAGTATCCATCTTGAGAATTCTTCACTGCAAGGATGGGAGAGCTATTGTTTTCAATAGCGCCAAAGAAAAATGCCACACCTGAGCCTTGTGGCATGAAAAGCAACAATGGGCTCTGGGATAAGCACCAGGGCAGAAACTTAAGAGACTGTCTCGACAGCAGTTGGGCTGGTCATGACCCCTTCCTGAGAACCACGCTGGCCCGGAAAAGGAGCACCACACCACTTAAAGACCCTAAGGCAGAGCATACAAGTCCAGGCTTTCAAAACTGGCATGCGGGAAAAGGGCGAGAGGGCAGACAAAAGCGGAAAAGGGAAAAGTCAGTTCTACTCTGTACATAAGAAAGCGTTTCTTACTGTGCTAAGTGTCATTAGCTGCCTTTAATTCACCCTCTTCACTTTGGCAGGTATCAGTCAGAGCTTCCAGTCAGCCAAGAAAACTTTCTGTAAAAAGCCTTTTACAACCACAGAAGAAACCTAAGCTTACAACTACTGAAAGCACAACATTAAAAATGAGCCAAAAGAAACCCAAGTGACATGATTAAGAAGTCATAATCATACCCTCCAACAATAATTTTCCCCTGAAGATTCAAATGACAAACCCTAGAACAGCTAAAACAGACGTAAGAAAGGCAAAGTCAGTAAAATTTTGGAAAATAAAAACATAGACACCAAAATAAAAGTCCCACAGAAGGACTAAAACATACAATAGGTCACCAAACCCTCAACTCAAAACGTAGTGCCTGTGGGTCATTTCCAACACAGCAACCCCCCAGGACAGGCTAGAACTGCTCCCGGGTCTCTGCGACTACCAGGAGAGCAGACGGACTCATCTTTCTCCTGAGGAGCCGCTTTGGTTGGACAGTTGGGTTTCTAATTTCTCACTATGAATCCTGCAACACGCAACCATTTCACAATCTCTAAATTCAAAAGTGAAATCCCAACAGTGAATAAACTACAAGTGGACAAACCACACATATATACATGGAGAAGAAAAGCAAAGCATAAGTCCTGATCTAAGTACAAAAGGTGAACTGAGGGAACGCAAAGATCCCTACAACAAGAAAAGTCTCAGGAGCTGGCTTTAGGATTGACTCACCTGTAGCTTCCTCACTGTTTGGATCAGCACATATGCCTAACCGCTCCTTGAGAGACTTGAAAACGTGAACTGTTAAAAACAAGCAAACAAAAAACTACTTAAAAAAAACAGGAAACGAAGTTGAACAGAGACTTTCTATAAATCAAGTAGATTATTCAAAGTTCACAAATCAGGCTATACTAAGGTGACCAGATTTTAACACTGGTAAAGCGGGACACCATTGATAAAACTCATATCCTGGCGAAACAGCCAGATGGCAGCCGAAAACCGTATACCCTAGCTTGTCGTGCATTCTTTCCAAAAATCAGGACTTTTCTAAAATGCCGCGGGACGTGGGAAAAAGTGTTAAAAATCGGGACTATCCCGCCAAAAGTGGGACGTCTGGTCACCTTAGGCTATACATTTCTCCCAAAGCACAGCTTTTTCTTCTCCACGGATCCCCTGCAGCACCTGGGGAAGCTCACAAAGGAGTTACCTTTCCTCACACTTGAAAGCAGCAGCCGTGAGATTCAGCCAAGTACATTTGTTACTAGAAAATTTTGTTTCTAAAATCTTAGTGGCTTCAAGAGCTTCTTGTCCATAAATCTATTTGAAGTATGCTCATTAGTGATGACTTGCTTGATAGACAAGAAGAGAAAGCAGGAAGGGAGGGACTTTGGCTTCAAAGACAACATTAACACCCAAAAGTCCCCAAACAAGAGCATCTTCTCGGGCTTGTGAAAAAATGGGAAGCATTATCCAATTAAAATTAAGCAGCACTGTGAGTGTGTGTGAGTGAGAGAGATATTATTTTAAAAGGAATGAGCTCCAATGTTGAACTACACGGAGAAACATACAAGGAGAAAATATCCAAGCCAACCACATCCTTCAACTATAAATCACTCTACCTCCCAAACATTTCCTGATTTAAGTCCACCTCTCGCCATACCTACTTCTGATACACGAATTCCTCCTGTCTGGACTATTTTAACAGCTTGTGAACTCATATCCTGGTCACCAGCTGGGCCTTCTCACTATTGCAAGTAGGGTTGCTGGTTCCAAAATGTGAGCCTGAGCCTTTGGTCCCTGTGTATCACCTTTCCCTGATGTGCTGCCAGGTGACGCAAGCCCTAACTCTGTAATATGGCTCCAAAGGCTCTGCGTGATCCAGTCTCTCTTCCCTTCTCCAGCCACCGTGTTTGGACCCTTGGCTCTGTGTCAGCCGTGCCCACTTCCTTGAGCACATTGCACTTTCTTAGGTCTGGGTTTTGGCACAACTCCAGCCCTCTTCAACTGTGCCTAATTCCTAACCCCGAGACAGCAAGATTCAGGACCCTTCTTCTGTGCTCCCACAACGCCACATGCTTCTTACATCACAGAATTTATGCCATTCCTTTCAAGTTATTTCTATCTCCCATTACATCATGACAGTATTTACTGTGCTCAATGGTTTCTACTTAGAATCTAGCAGAGTAAATACTCGCCTAAATGTCTGTTGAACAAATAAAGGAGGTGTTAGAAGATAATCAATTTACTTGAGAGAAAAAAACGCAACCCTGTCTGCGAGCATTAAATAAACAAGTGTCACCACGTGTACACACACACAAAGTATACTAGAACAAAGGCACACCTTTCTTTGAGGTTTTGTCAGTGTTCGTTTCTGCAGCTTCAACCTTCTTTCCCAGCCTCTGGGCAAGGCTACGCTTTAACGGAGGGTCACCATTACCACCTATAACACAAGGAGGCAATTCTAAGAATCCAAACCAGTCTTCAGCCAGGCAGTGAAATGCAAGCACAAGCACACATCCCGTCTACAAGTGTTCTGTGCTTGTCTATGTGTTGGTTAGCCAGCCTCCTTAGACTCAGGGTCAAGGAAGGAGTAAGACATTTCAAGAAAGAGTGAAAGGGACACAGGGACCAGAAGCAGCAAACCCTGTTTAAGACTGAAGTTCAGAATTAGGAAAACATGGAAAACTTTCATTCACAAAAACAACTGGTGGATTGCTAAACTGCAAGAAAATCCATGTCAAATACATCTTGAATGATTAGAAAATTAGACAGCAAACGGATCTTAACTTGTTTTTTCTTGCCCTATGAAGATACTATGGAGGCCAAATAGTCCCTCTTCAATTTCAAGAAAGGGATCTGAAGTGTTGAGAGCCTGTATCTTACCCAAAATAACAAGGCTTATACATGAAGCCAAACTTCCTGTCTCCTGGTTTATGGTCTTACACTAGTCAAGCTGTTTATGGGCTAAAAAATACGAAAAAGACTTTGATTGCTTCTGAAGATGTATGTATTTGCTGCGCCAGAGTAAAACTTTGAAAGACGGCACATACTAAACCAGTACAGATGATCAAATACGGCTCTTAAAATCTAACACAAGCAAAAGACTAAGCAAGGCTATTTCTTGAAATATAGTGGGGATTTCTAAACATTGCCTCTCCTGTCTCTTCTTTGTCAAGGACTATTTCATCTGTAGTACATTCACGGGACTCTAATGAAGGCACCCATTACTTACCCCTTCTTGAATCTGAGGCTCAGTGCAGGAAATATTCACTGAACTTGTATTAAAGGTAAGCACCAAGCCTTGGGTTTTCTCATGGTTGAGGATTCAAGGAAAAGCACTCTGACAAACAGTAGGCCCAAGACAAAAATCTCAAATCCACTGCTATCCATCCAGTTGATTCAAGGTGCTCATTACCAAGTAGCAGTGCTGCACAGGATTCCTATGATGTCATCTATACCAGCCAGGCCCACCCCCAGCCCCACACCCGTCTTCCTTCTATGGTGCTCCCTTGGGCATGTTCCAATTGCCAATCTTTAGGTTCAATTTTGAGTGCAAACTGTTTTTGACACCCAAGGACCTTATTTCATTTATAGGCACCGTTTAATTACAAAAACTTTTTTTTTTTTAACAAGTACTTTTTACTACCCAAAGGGAATAATTTCATAACTACATAATTGATCAACACATTTTTCTGACCATCTGAAATTAAAGTTTCGAAAAGATCAGGCAGTGAAAATGGCACCAACCAAAGACAATACAAAATGGTGATGAGGTTTCATATTTGCAAGCACGTTTTGAACTATGGAACGTTATGGTATCTGTAAGCTCCCAATAAAATGGTGAAACAGTTAAATAAATAAATAAGAGTATGAAAAAATCTCCCATAGCCAGCTTTTCATGAGTACTCTGTGGAGACAGAAACACTAGGATAGGTATATACAATTTTGCAGTAATATGGTAAAGTGCCTCCCTACTAGAAAACAGTCCCAGTAAATTCAATGATGCAAACTGCAGTACCAAGTTGTACAAATTTTAATGTGTCATCCAGTCCCTACCCCCAATCCAGAGATAATCTTTACTGTTTTTAAAACCTAATGCCTTCTAAAGAGCTGACGATAACGGAATTAGATTATAACTTGAATGTCTAAAGGAGTGTAATACAGTCCCTGAGAGAAGGGAGTGTGACACCTGGCAAACCGGCCATGACTGTAGATTTGTGGAGAGCACTTATGAGGCTCAGGCATCAACAGGCAGAAAACAAACGTTTATCTCACCTACAGGTAATTTTCGTTTCCCCAGCCTCTCCGTGAGGCTCAATCTAACCAGAGGTTCTTCTCCTGAAATGACAAAAATAAGAGAGTCTCTACCATAGCCAACTTTTTCTTTATCAGTAACTACTAATGGGTTTAAAGCATGATCTGATATTAATGAGCCTGCCCGGAAAGTTTCTTGGAAATCCTATCTTGGGTCTTTAGAAACAAACACTATCTTATTTTAAAAGAAAAAACAAAAAAAAAAGAACCTGACACTTCTTTAAACAGACAGGTGCCCATCCTTAGAGGGACGCAGCAGTGCGGTCCTTCTGAGTCACTGCAGCCTGGTATATGATGGCCGCTTGCGTTCCTGCCAATCGGCTAGAAAACCCAAGATCTCCCTAGGCTGGTGGCGTTGATGGATGTCAAAAGAAACGCCACCTTACTCCAACATGAACTCGGGCTTCAAAGATTTCTTCAATCATCCCAGCAAGCAGCAAGCTCTCTTTTCTCAGATTTTTTAATTGTATAAATGGCACAAAGTTTTGAATGCATCCATATACAACAACTACATGTTCCTATCCATTACTCGGTTTCAAATATGAAAGACTTTAATACTTTCCTCTAAGTTAAAAGATTTATTACTGTTCTTTACTTCCAATGAACAGGTCATAGATTTGGTGACTGGATAGAAAGTATATGTGAAAATGAAATATGCATCCAAGCAGGGGCTGCCTGAATGAGTTGTTCAACCTTTTACATAATAAGAACCAAATCTGTTGTTTCTTCTCCAAAAGTATAAATGTGTGACAACTCTCGAACCAACCCTAACCCACCTTGTTTGCTGGACAGAGTGACTGTCCTCACCACAGTCCGGACATTCTCCTTTTCAGGACCTGGAACAGGCTGGGGTTGGAGCACAAGGCTGGTCACTCCCGAAGTACCTTCTGAATAAAGGAAGCCAAAGAACAGCCAACAGTTTATAGGAAAGAATGCGAGCACAAGAAATTCTATTCTGGGACCAGGCAGGTCACATCTACAATATCTGATGACTACAAGCCAATTTAGGAGCCTGTTTGTCTACTAAGAAAACAGGGTGGTGATGGGAAGGGAGACAGATCACTCACAGTTCTCATTTACCTGGAGAATGAATTTCAAATGCAATATATAAGCTGTCTGAGTGACCTAGGCAATAAACATTGGAGGGATTCAGCTGGCTGGCACTGGTTTGGTAGAACCAATACCTAATTTTTTGCTGAGTTCGGTGAATCCGGAGATAAAACGGCACTTGTAATCAGGGTTCTCTCTAAACAGGGTGGCTAGGCAGCTGCCCAATGTGGAAATCACACACTGACATTCCCGACTCTTTTCTGTCATCTGTGCCATAGCGTATTCTAAGCGTCTACAGTAATTTGCTTATGATATTTATTTATTCATTTCATAAAACTCATACTTTGGATGAAAATATCCTTTTTATAGCCTTGCATTTGTTGCTTCAGTAAACAAGCATATAACACCACAGAAAAAATGCCAACCAACCAGAGGGTGACACGCTGTCATTCACTTCAGTTTTGTGCTACACCCCAAATTCCCACGAGTTATTATTATGGGTTCTCCAATCAGGAAAACCAACAAGAAGCTAGGACACACAATGAACCAACAGAAACATAAGGGTCCATTACAGGGAAAAAAAAAAAGTTGTTGAATTAAGCACTTTAGGAGCCTTCAAAAATATAATTAGCAGTATGTTGGGCTTTCTTGAGGAAAACTTTTAGAAAACATTATAAAAAGTTTGAAAATAAGACTAATGGATTGTGAACATTTAAAAGTTGTAGCCAGTCTTAAGATGGGAATTAATTAAAATTTCTCAAATTTTTGGAGTCAGGCTACTGGAATATTTAAGATGTACTAGTTCCATGGAAAGCAGCTAATAATTGCTCATACTTAATGACATTTTTAATTACCATATTGATATTAATGATCATCACAGAAAATGTTTTTTAAAATCCCCAGAATTAAACAGAAAAAAACCTAAAAATATTGTCAGAACAACCGCTGCTAAGCGCAACAGAGGAAGAAAAGGGTTTTTCAAAGATGAACATACCCTGTTTCCCCGAAAATAAGACAGTGTCTTATATTAATTTTTGCTCACAAAGATGCGCTAGGTTATATTTTCAGGGGATGTCTTATTTTTCCATGAAGAAGAATACAGTACACTTGTTTTATTAAAAGAGACCTCACACTTCCTGTCTGCTCCGGCTGCGCTGCGGTCAACCATGACGGCGGTGCCCGTCACTATGGTCGGTAGCTTCGGGGGGCCTTATTTTGGGGGGATGCCTTATATTTCAGCGAGAGGCAAAACTGTAAGTAGGTCTTATTTTGGGGGGCTGTCTTACTTTCAGGGAAACAGGGTAGTGTGGTAGTTACATAATGTGGTGTCAATTTGGGACTTGAGAGGATTAAGAGTGAAGGGGTGGAGTCTACTGTCAATTGGATCATAGCCAATGAGGCCTCTGTGTGGGTATGGCCTTCTCCTGAGAATTTTCTCTCGACTCACTTCCTGCGAGACATCCTTGAGAAGCCACATGGACCTACCCTGAGGCAGCCCAGGTAACTGGAGAGCCACATGGAGACTCCTGCCAGCACTGAGATACTTCTCCCGCCACTGACTTTGCACCCACTGGCCTGTGATCAACCTGCATTTGGTGTCACTGCGTGTGTTTCATAAGTTTGAAACACACAATATAGTTTGGTATCGAACACAGGGGCTAATATCAGACTTAAGGGCTTGATCTGGACCGGGTTGGGATGTTTTCTCAATATTCAAATGTTCTTATATATAAACCTTTCTTACACATATAAGCGTGCTTAGGAATTTGTTTCTCTAGTGTACCCAGACTCACACATCATGGTACCACACATGGGGTACTAGATAAACGAACCATAAAGATGGAGAGTGGATGTTTGTTTGACTTCGGCCACATGGTAGGGTTTCTTCTTTGGCTAGCCAGAAGTCAGGTATGTCCCTGCACTTTACTGGGTTGTTTCCTGGCAAGAATATGGGAAGTTAGAGTTTAGAGTATTTTGTTTGGTTGTAGTCTTTGGTTATTCCTGTTTGAGACGATGAAAATGAATGTTGTTAATGTGTACTTTGAGCTCAGGGGTAGAAATCACCATTTTAATTTCTCAGAAACCATGCTGTTTAGAGAAAACGGCTGACAGAAAGCATGGAGGTTTTGATGCTCTCAGAGGCCTAATCCCATATTTTTTATCAACAGAATAATGACATAAAGATTTCGATAAGCTAAATAAGGAACGAACTTGACTGTTTTAAGAATTTAGTATATGATTCCACTTTATACTGTTTTCTTCTGCTTATTACTGTGGATATAAGGATTTATGGAAATGATTTGGGGAAGTTTGAAAATAGAATTTGTAAGCCCATTTGCCTGGAGACATTAATTTGATCTTTAGATGAGTTTAGGACATACCTGCAAAGAGATAAATGGCTCTGAGCCCCACCTCTTTCTCTCTTGCTTTCTGATTGGACCAGTGTGCGGCTGCTAGTTCTCTGCCCTCAACTTGTGAGCTACACTACCTGTGGAACTGCTAACCTGTGGATGGTGTCGCTACAGCTTGAGGTTCCTTCGAGACCTGCTTCACCACACTGCTGGCGTATACATTGCTCGGGACTGTTGGACCTTATCATCTTGCTGACTGTTGGTGACCCGCCCTGCTGGTGGCCAGACTGCCTGCATTGCTCTATGGAAGGAAGACTCAGCTGTCTGCTTCCTTGACCTTGGGCCCAGCAGCCCTCTTGAGTTGAAGGACTTCCAGTATATTAACTGTTTCATGGAAGTGAGTTGAACCGAGCCCTACTGTACTGCTGTGTGGGCTACTTAGCCGATATATTCCTTTGTGCTGCACATATCTATCTTTATATATATATATAGCCGATATATTCCTTTGTGCTGCACCTATCTATCTATCTATCTATCTATCTAACAAAAATCTAAGTGTTTTGGTTTTGTTACTCTAGAGAACCCTGTCTAACATACATACTATGTTCAGAAAAGTTGTCTAACTATTTCTAATATATCAAACACAATGACTATTAGTCTAATTGTCCTACCTCTGAAGGAATGGGATCCTAACTCTTGAGTTATAAACTACCTTTGGGATATCTTTTTCTATAATTAAAGAGCGATCATTACAACAAATATGGCTAACATTGTGAAACCACACCAAACACCGAGTGGTTCCATCTCACAGCCACCCAGCTCCTGAGACCCTCGATCTGTATGGGGCAGACAGCCTCATTTTTCTCCTACAGAGGCTGGTGAGTGACAAATTCTGACCTTGTGGTTAGGAGCCCAACACCCAATTCACAGGACCACCAAAGCTCCTAAGCATTATAAAACTGACCTCAAAAGTACACGAGCCATCAAATGTGTTGATGGAACCTTTTCCTTGTAAATTTAATCACCCATAGAATATAACTTCACGTTTCCAAGAATACGCTTTGATAAAGAGGGGGCCTTAAGACCCATCATTTGCTTCCCTCTGAATACATTTCACACTGTGATTGTAATTTTTAATGTTGAAAATGCACATCAATGAAGCCAAGGAACGGTTTGGAAGAAAATTCTAACAACTCTTAAGGAAGAACTCACCCACGACAAAATAAACTCTTCCCTCTCTTAATATGACTATACAAGGAAACTTCAACATTTGTGTTAAAATTCTATTATCCTTTAATAGTCTACTTTTTAAAAAAATTTAAATATTGATTTTTAATTAAGGGTTAAAAGATAAAACATCCCTAATAGAGATTCAAAATTACTTGAAATAGGATTACTCAGTTCTTTTTTTTTTTTTTTGAAACATTTTATTAGGGGCTCATACAACTGTTGTCACAATCCATACACACATCAATTGTGTAAAGGGCATTTGTACATCATTCTCAAAACATTTTCTCTCCACTTAAACCCCCGACATTAGGTCCTCATTTTCCCCCTCCCTCCCCGCTCCCCACTCCCTCATGAGCCCTTGATAGTTTATAAGTTGGTATTTTGTCATATCTTGCCCTGTCCGACTTCTCCCTTCACCCACTTTTTGGTTGTCTGTCCCCCAGCAAGTGTCCCCCAGCAAGGAGGTCATATATAGTTCCTTATAATCGGTTCCCTCTTTCCTACCCATTCTCCCTTTACCCTCCCTGTTTCGCCACTCACACCACTGGTCCTGTAGGGCTCATCCGCCCTGGATTCCCTGTATTTTCAGTTCCTATCTGTACCAGTGTACATCCTCTCATCTAGCCAGACTCGCAAGGCCGAATTCGAGTCATGGTAGTGGGAGCGGGGGGAAAACATTTAGGAACTAAGGAAAGTTGTATTCTCATCGTTGTTACATCGCACCCTGACTGGCTCATCTCCTCCCCGAGACCCCTCTGCAAGGGGATCTCCAGTGGCCTACTAATGGGCTTTGGATCTCCACTCCGCACTCCCTCCATCATTCACTATGGTAAGATTTTTTGTTCTGATGATGCCTTACACCTGATCCCTTCGACACCTCGTGGTTGCATAGGCTGGTGTGCTTCTTCCATGTGGGCTTTGTTGCTTCTGAGCTAGATGGCCGCTTGTTTACCTTCAAGCTTTTAAGGCCCCAGACGCTATACTTTTTGATAGCCGGGCACCATCAGCTTTCTTCGCCACATTTGCTTAAGCACACATTTGTCTTCAGTGATCCGTTCGACACCTCATGATCACACAGGCTGATATGTTCTTCCATGTGGGCTTTGTTGCTTCTGAGCTAGATGGCCGCTTGTTTACCTTCAAGCTTTTAAGGCCCCAGACGCTATATCTTTTGATAGCCAGGCACCATCAGCTTTCTTCACCACATTTGCTTATTCACCCGTTTTGTCTTCAGCGGTTGTGTCTGGAAGGTGAGCATCATAGAATGCCAATTTAATAGAAGAAAGTATTCTTGCGTTGAGGGAGTACTTGAGTGGAGGCCCAAGGTCCTTCTGCTACCTTAATACTAAACTTATAAATGTAGGCTCATAGATCTAATATTCTACTTTCTATAAACTTTTCTAGCCCAACAGTAGTTCTAATTGGCTATTCTTTAAAAGCCTCTGGTAGTACAACAGGTTCAGCAGTTAGGCTGCTAACCAAAAGACTGGCGGTTCCAAGCCATCCTGTGGCTCTGTAGAAGACCTGGAATTCTGCTCTTGTAAAGTTGACATTCACGAGAACCCTATAGGTACAGTTCTACTCCATCACACAGGCTTCCTATGAGTCAACAACAAACAAACCAAAATTCTATGCTCTATAGGGGTATTTCTCAAGACCAAAAATCTGATTTGAAAGACTCTTGTGTTTTACTTTAAAATAAGGCACAGAAGTAAAAATGCATTTATTCACTCTGATTACTGCTTTCAGAAGTGTTCTTACTCTTCTCTAGCAACATGCAATAATTTGTGGCAAAACCCACAACTTACCACCTTGCTTCTTGGATTTTTCCTTCATTTTCTTTGATTTGATTTCCTCAAGAGTTTTTATTCCAAAATCCAAACATTCACCTGAGAAACCAAAAGATGAATCACAAGAGGAACTAGCACCTTTTCACCAGTGCATTTTTTTTCTACACACAGCACAGCAGGCTTTGAAATGGTTACTAAATGAATGATTATTAAGATCACGTACGCAGGTAGAAGGTCACAAGGAGGGAAGATGGAGGTCGTGGTGATCACAAACTAAGTTCAAATGAACACAAATAGTTTACGCACAGACAATCCAGAGTATGGTACAATTTATGAGAGGGCCAAGCACCAACGTCTCTTCTTACCTTGCTTTACACCGCCTCCAGGTTTCCGGGCAGAAGGAGCCCCTCGCAATCCATTAGGAACTTCAGGAGCTGCTTGCAGGGCAGGAGTTTTGGTTTCTTCACCTTCCTCAGAAAACTGATCTAAACATCAACATTTAAGGCACATTTGGAATTAAAAAACAGCCTGGCGCTTTTCATCCAAATTCCTGCCAGTTCACTAAGTGGCCCTGGCTATTTACTTGCTTTAAAAATAGGAATGCAAACTCACCATCATCATCCTCATCGTCATCTGCAGCATTAATTACAACCGGTGGATGTGTGGGGCTAGGAACATTTTCTGAACTTTCTACTTTCATAACACTCCGCAGCTGAGGGGAAGGGTTCGACTGGACAGACAATTTGTTCTGTTGAACTGTGAGCTGGCAAGCCTTCACTTCCTCTTCTGTTGACTCAGGCACAGTGGGTAACACAGCTAAACACATCAATTCAGCAGTCAATTAAAAACAGAAGATACAATGCTGACGTATTAAAAGTCCCTACCCAGCTATGACAAGCTGGCTTTATCTTACTTACTAGAATTTATGTCCTTTAACCAAATTAAATAGTGGAAAGTATGCTTAGTTAATAATAGCTCTTTACTGAACAAGAACACACTCAAAATGGGCAACCATTCCTGGCCCACCAAGCCCTGAGGATGATATTCCCGCTCAGAGCAGCCAAAGCACACAGAGGACCATAGGGCCAGCCCCACAACAAGACATGATGTCCCTCGCTGACCCATAGTGCTCTGGGGGACAACAATGGAGACACAGTGTGGAAACTGCGCCCGATGTGACCCCACCACACTAAAGTGAAACACTAAGTGTGTGCAACAGTACAGACAGGGGAACAGAACAACAAAGTCCCAGTGAGTAACAAAAATAGATTTTTGGGCCAGGGCATGGCACCCCATCAGACTCAACTGGAAAACACTCCTAAAGGTCAACAAACAGACCTTGAACGATTTACAGGCTTTTCTTGGTCCCAGTTTTTTTGTTTTTGTTTTCTTTTATTGCTTTGTTTTGCTCTGTCCTGTTTTTGTGCATATTACTATCTCTGCAGGTGTCCCTAGATAAAATAGGCGGGATAAACAAGCTGGAGGAGAACCTATGGTTCCAGGGGGACATGGGAGAGGGGGAGGCAGAGGAAAGGAAGTGGGTGGGTGTTAACAAATCCAGGGATAAGGGAACAACAAGTGATCCAAAATCGATGGCGAGGAGGATGTAGGAGGCCTGGGTAGTGCTTGATCAAGGGCAATGAAACCAAGAGGAACTCAAATGAAGGCGGAACATGATAGTGGGACAAGAGGAAATTCAAAGGAAATAGAGGAAAGAATTAGGAGGCAAAGGGCATTTATAGAGGTCTAAATACAGGTATGTGCACATGTAAATATATATGATGATGGGGAACTAGATCTATGTGCATACATTTACAGGTCTAGTATTAAGGTAGTAGATGGACATTAGGCCTCTACTCAAGTACTACCTCAACGCAAGAATATTTTGTTCTGTTAAACTGGCATTCCATGATGCTCACCTTCCCCACATGATCACTGAAGACAAGTGGGTACATAAGCAAATGTGGTGAAGAAAGCTGATGGTGGCCAGCTATCAAAAGATATAGCATCTGGAGTCTTAAAGGCTTAAAGGTAAACAAGTGGTCATCTAGCTCAGAAGCAACAAAGGCCACATGGAGGAAGCACGCCAGCCTGTGTGATCACGAGGTGTCGATGGGATCTGGTTATCAGGCATCAAAGAACAAAAAGTCCTATCATTGTGAATACGGGGGAGTGCAAAGTGGGGACCCAAAGCCCATTTGTAGGCAACTGGACATCCCCTTATAGCAGGGTCGCGGGGAGGAGACTAGCCAGTCAGGGTGCAGTG